GCGTGAGGTGCACGAACACTCACCGAGTCCGAGCCCAACGACCGTAGTAAGTGCGGCGTCGAACATGGGATGGCGGCCACCTCCTTCTGGCTGGATAGGAATATTTGGAGTGGGTGGTCCGCCTGGGGGGTTGAAGGGAAGGTTGACAGCAACTGTTCCTTCATGTACCTCATGCCGGTGATGAGGTGAACTGGGTGGTTGTGAATGAGAAGTAGGAGGCTTGGGAGGAGGAACCTGGGTATATAATCGTAGTTGTTGCCTGCCGAACGTCCGTGGGGAGAGAAGCGTAGCAAGGCCCGGTCCCGCCGGGAAACGCGCTGCTTGCGCGGGCACCCGCGTTACGCAGCGCGCAAAGGCGGTGGTGGCGAGCATGGAAGAAGTAACTCTGTGAGAATATAGTAGATACAAAAGAACGGTGGTATATCCTCAACAGCCAGTTCAGCAATTCAGAGAGCGTCGAGCGAAGACAATGCCAAGAGAGTACCGGGCCGCATACCGAGTAACGTGTCACGAAGTTGTCCGCCCATTGTTCTCTTTGTTCTCCTTTCCTCTTTAGTATCTTCGAAACGTAACTGTCACGCACAGCCGCAGCTTGTCATTCTCCTTCACGGTCCAGCACCAGTATTCTGCTGCGCCACCCTCGACGCTTGCTTTAACTATCTAATCTCCTGACCCCCTCGTTCCTTTATCCTCCACGACCTTCCGCCCGGTGCACAGCCCACGACAGCACGATGGGGGCTATTGACGATGCTGGAGACCTCATCAACAACGACTCGCGGACGCTGGCGCCCGAAGCCGTTGCCTCCCAGGTTGCTTTGATGTCCGTCATATCCGTGAGTGGCCTGCTGGGGGACCTAGGGCACTGCTGACGACTCCCAGGTGATCACAGTCCTGGCCTTCAACATACTACGCCCAAAGAATAAGGTGCGTAGTTGCATTCCCCTCCCCCTTAACGTCACTCACAATATGTGGAGATCATCTATGAACCCAAAGTCAAGTACCACGTTGGCAACAAACCTCCGCCGCGCATCTCCAGCGGCCTCTTCGGCTGGCTCCCTCCGCTCGTTCACACCAAGGAGCCCGAGCTCATGGACAAAGTCGGCCTCGACGCCGTTACATTCCTCCGCTTCCTCCGCATGATGCGCTGGCTCTTTACCGGCATCGCCGTCCTCACCTGCGGCATCCTCATCCCCATCAACGTCTGGTACAACATCAAAAACGACGTCGACGGCCGCGACATTCTTTCCATGCTTACTATCCGCGATGTCTCCGGCAACATCCTCTTCGCCCACGTCGCCGTCACCTACCTCGTCACCTTCCTCATCATGTGGTGTGTCTATGTGCACTGGCGGGAGATGGTCAAGCTCCGTCACGCTTGGTTTCACTCCGAGGAATACCAGCAGGCCTTCTATGCCCGCACGCTCGCCGTGCGCAACGTCCCGAAGAAGCTCCAGACCGACGAGGGGCTCAAGGCAATCTTCGAGTCAGTCAAGGTCCCCTACCCCACCACCAGCGTGCACATCGGCCGCAAAGTTGGCAAGCTGCCAGAGTTGATCGAACTTCACAACGATACTGTGCGCCAGCTGGAAGAATACCTCGTGCGCTACCTCAAGGGTGGTAAGATGGGGAAGAAGCGGCCCACCATCCGAATCGGCGCTTTCATGGGAATGGGTGGCAAGAAACTGGATGCTATCGACTACTACACGTGCGTCTTCCTCGTATCATCGTATAGCAAATTCTGACAGCACTTTAGAGACAAACTTCGCCGGATGGAGGGTGCCATTCAAGAGTACAGACGTCAAATAGACACCCGCAAAGCCGAGAACTATGGCTTCGCCAGTATGGCCGCCGTTCCTTACGCGCACGTCGTGGCCAAGATTCTTGAGGACAAGCACCCCAAGGGAACGGATATTGAGCTCGCGCCGAACCCGAAGGACATCGTAAGTCGTTATTTCTCATCAGGCCTCACTACAATCATCGGCGTTTTATTATCGCCTGATTTTGCTGCCTCGGACCGCGTTTCATCACCGCATTTCGCTCACAAACTCACTCCGCTATCGCGCTTGTACACTCACGCCGCTATGCTCGCTTATTTGCTCCGCGCATGCTCATCCGTCCCCGGCACATCCATCCCGCTTGCCTCATACTCACATCACATCGCACAGGTATGGACCAACATGAACATGACAGACGGAGAGCGGGCGCGGAAGCAGACCATCGGATCCTTGATCCTCGTCGTCGTTTGCTTCTTCAACACGGTCCCTCTGTTCATCATCTCGATTTTGGCCAACTTGTCTTCCGTGAGTGGGCCTTCTTACGGTCTTATGGGGTTTGGCATGTTTATTTTTTCATTCCCTGTCGTTGCGCTGTTCTGCTATCTCGTCTATCGTGTACCTTTACTCACCTCTGCGCCCTCAGCTCACCACCTGGGTCCCCTTCCTAGCGAACTGGCAAGGTGAAAGCGAGAGCTCGTTCAACTTCGTCTCCGGTGTGCTGCCTCCGGCGGTGTCAGCGGCCTTTGGCTTCGTCTTACCCATCATTATGCGCAAGTTGACAAGTGTGCGTCTTCTGCTGCTTCGTCCGTGGGGCGCATGATTTAACGTCAGTCTAGTACATGGGTGCGCTCACGCACTCCCGCCTTGATCGGGCCGTTGTTGCGCGCTACTTCGCGTTCTTGGTTATCTCTCAGCTTGTCGTGTTCACGCTGATTGGTGTGATCTTCAGTGAGTGTTGCTTCTCTGCTGATATTGTGTGCTTGTACTGACGATCGGGCGATAGACTGCGTGAAGGAGATCATCCGGCAGGTCGGCAAGAAGAGCTTCTCGGAGATTATCCACAACCTGGATAGTGCGTGGTCTAGCGTGCGGCACAGCACGGTACTGACATGACTATGCAGCTCTTCCCGACACGATCAACAGGACATACATCGATCAGTCGTCGTACTGGCTGACTTACTTTCCGTGCGCATCACAAATTTTGCGACAGGATCGTGGCTGATATCCTTTCCAGGCTGCGAGGCTTCCTCGTTCTGTTTGATCTTGCGCAAGTCGTCAACCTTCTTTGGCTGTCTTTCAAGACTCAGTAAGTTCGCTCTGCCACGTCTGGTGGCCTCTTCATCAACATCTCCACAGCGTGTTCGGCCGTACGCCACGTGATATTCGTGAGTGGACGCAACCACCTGAGTTCCAGTACGCCATCTACTAGTAAGTCTTTTGTCATGCTTGGCAAGACATGCACTGACCGGTTCACCAGCTCGAACACGGTCAGTACCAGTCATGATGCAGTTGGATCTCGCATCTTACACAACTACAGCTGTTTATGGGCGCGGTCGCCTTGGTGTTTGCCCCGTTGGCGCCCCTTGTCGCCTTGGCCGCTGCTATCGTGTTCTGGATGAGCTCAATTGTGCAGAAGTATCAGCTCATGTTTGTCTTCGTCTCCAAGGTGGAGTCTGGCGGGGTGCGTATCTGTCTAATGACTCGCTGCGTCGTTCTGAATTCGTTCGCAGCGTTTATGGAACGTCGTCATTAACCGGCTGCTGTTCACCGTCTTGTTGATGCAGGCGATGATGACCTTGAGTAAGCTTCTTGCCGTACTCCTTCCGCTCGCCTATCTGACATGGCCCACAGCCATCGGCCTCCAGACCGGCTGGAGTACCTTCGAGTGGTGCTCTACGTTGCCGCCCGTACTGTTCATCATCATCTTCAAGCTCTACCTCAACCACACGTTTGTGCACAAATTCAAGCATTACACGCCGACGCAGGACGAGCTTCGGCTGGCCAAGGTGCACTCGGAACGCGCGGATCTGAAGGGCAACCGTTTGGAGAAGCGCTTCGGGCACCCAGCGCTACACACGGAGCTTTTTACGCCCATGTTGCACAAGAACATGATGCCGCTGCTAGGCCAGGTGTATGGCGGCAAGATGGCACATCAGGACGTGAAGATGGACGAGTATGGCGGGAAGAAGATGGAGGCGCAGGTGGTGCAGGGTGGGATCAGGATTGCGGCTATCGATCAGGTCAGTTACCTAGCTGAGGTGAATGAAGTGCCATTGCTAACGCTTTTTGTAGGCGCAATTGGAGTACGACCCCGCATTATACCAGCGCGATCGCGGCGAGCTTGACTGGGACGCCAAGTCGATGACCTCAACGGCCATATTGGACGCGCCCTCGATGTACAACTACAACATGGACGGCCAGGGCAGTGTCGGGCAAATGCGCTACCAGAATTACCTCGCGCAGGGCCCTTCACAATCCGAGATTGAGCTCAACCACATGGACTCGCCGCATGAGCCGCTGCTTAATCCGCGCGCGCAGTTCGTGCAGGCGCCCAGTATGGCCGCGTACGGCTCGTCGCAGAGTCTGACGCCGCCGTCGCTCTACCAGGAGCCCATGGCCGCGCACTCGACGAGCGGCTTCCGGGAAGCGCCGCTGCACCGGCAGATGTCGTACGACACGACGTACTCGCCGGAGCAGGCGATGGAGTACCCCCCGCGGCCGACACACATGCAGTATCCGTCCAACTACTCGCAGGGGAGCGACTACGGGGCGCCGCCGCCTCAGCAGAATATGGCAGGGCGGGGGGCGGGGCGGTTCCAATGATGCGAGCCCGGATGAGGACGGCACGCCCTGCCCCGACAGCAGGCGCCTGAGCCCTTGGACCTAGCCCACCACCGCCGCGCTGGATCTACTTATCAGACTAACGGATTTTATTGATGGGCTGCTCGCGCTTCGCGAGTGGAAGTGAGTATCTACATGAGCACAAGGGTTGTTGCGCGGCGTGTGGCTTGTATTATGATCTACCCTACATTGGTATACTAATCCTAGGGACGTTGCACGGACTTCCGAACCCATTACTTACTGAAGGCGAACATGTAGAAACATGCATCTTGTGTACTCCGTGGACATTGCTTAGAGATCACAGGTCGCACGCAGTACACGCAGTATAAGGTCGTGGAGGATGCAAGTCCATCGCAAAAAAGCGATCTAATCTCCAGCTCTGTATGCATTAAGGGGGAATCGAACCCCCGGCGGGTCGAACTTTGCAGCTGGCAACGACCCAGGTTACCACTACCCCATTAATGCTTCATTGTGTTGAAGATACTACTTATAGTAGCTTTTTCAGATCCTCAAGCGCCCAAATTTCAAGTACTTACTGCCATTGACATTGCAATGACCATTGACCTTGCTCTCACATCACACCGTCATCTACCTATACTTCTCGCGCATCTATGGGAAAACTCCATCTCAAGAGGACTCCTGAAGAGGAGTTGGCTTCTAGGAAAAGAAAACAACGCAGGCTAGACAAGAAGCGTCGCAAAGAAGAGCCTTATTCGACGAAGAGAGTCAGACCTGCCGACTACGACTACGTCTTTGACACCAGTGGTTTGCCCCAACCTCACCACGATGAAGCTCACGGTGGTGGGCCCTCGGAATACTACACCCGTGGCTGCAAGCGCGATCCGGAAGTCCTGAACGCGGAACTGGAAGAGCAAGCGTTCCGGGACAGGATGTTCGATGCTCTCGGGGACGATGAACGCCTAGATGGCGTCGAAGCACAGTTCAACGACTATGCCCATGTTCCCCACAGATGGGGAGGCAGCACAACGAGAAAGCAGTCCTACGAGAATGAGGACAGCTTCCTGCACACAGACCCTCAGTACCTCGACGATGAGGAGTACGCCGAGTGGGTGCGGCTCGGAATGTACAGGTGCGCGTACTACGTTCTCATGGCCTGTTAGTCAGGCTGATGTCGAGGATCCGGCAGGAAGACCCACGCCGCGGAATACGCAGAGCAAGAGCGTCAGAAAGCGGCCAAGGCCGCGCGCAAGGCAGAAGAGCGCGCCCGCCGGAAGGAGACCCGCCGCCTCGAAAAGGCAGCCGCCGAAGAAAGACGCCTACACAAAGCCCACAAGCACGCAATGCGCTTCGTCGAGGCGCGCGAGCGATACGAGAAGCGGTGGAACGAGCTGCTCGCCGAACCAAACGAGGCCGCCGCATCGCTCATGTTCGCCGACATCCCGTGGCCCGTTCTCGCTGCGTACCGACATGAGGCCAAGGATCACGAAGGATCGCCGTTGACTGTCGAGGACCTGACATTGGACTCCATCTCCGCGTTTCTTCTTCCTGTGAGCGCACCTGCGCCAGCGAACGCCGCCGACACGAGTGTCGAGGAGAGTCGCAAGAAGGAGCGCAAGGAGCGTCTACGCGCGTCCTACCTTCGCTTCCATCCGGACAAGTTCGAAGGGCGTCTGATGAAGCGGATAAGGCCAGAGCACCAGGAGGAAGTGAAGAGCGCTGTCGGGGCTGTAGTACGGGCACTCAATACCCTCATGTCGGACTACTAGCTATACTACTCTTCACGATTATCATTCAAGAGACTGTACCATCTGCGCGACGCAAAGTATGAGGGGTCCATGACCGGCGACCCTTCGTATGAGGGCCGCCCGTCCACAATTGCATTCGTTGCTCCTCTTCTCCGTTCGTATGTAAAGGGTACCGTATGTCATCTGTGCTACGGCGAACAAGTATGAGATAGAGAAAGAGTAGATGGGTGCAGAGACTCAGGCTCAATAGCCATGCGAGTGATACAGCGAGACGATGTCACGAAAGGGGCAAGGGAGTCCAACAGCCAGACGATCTGCCTGAACCTACTCTAGGCGCGCGAGCACTACGCCCTTTAGGACGCGGCGGCCACACTGGGCGCCTCGTCCCTCTTCGCCTCTTTCTCTGCCAGCTCCTTCTTCCGCGCCGCTAACTCCTTTTCCTGCTGCGCCAGCTGGTCCTGCACGTTGCCGTTGTTGAAGGTCATGGTCTTGTTGTGGCTCGCACCCGGAGAGCCCGCCATGGTCCCCGTCTCAGGGTTCCTGATGTTGACCATAGGCCCCGACGTCCCCATGCCGCGGTGGAAGGACGTCGGCAGCACGCGCCCTTCCGGGTGCTGGAAGGGACAGGTTGCGCGCGTGCAGGCGGCGCCAAACCGGCAAGGCTGGGCGTTGTTGTGGTTGGCAGCGGGGCTCGGGTGGTAGAATGAGCAGTTGGGGCGTGTGCAAGCAGCACCGAACTTGCACGGGACCTGGGTTGTAGGCGGCGGCGCGTGGCGCTGTGGCATGCTTTGTTCGGCTAAAGGGGAATTTAGTACATAGAGAACTCAAGACAAAGATGACTGAGCGCACCGTTGGGGTGCAGGACGGCAGGGCTGACGTGCGCCTTAGTGCAGTCCTTGTCCTTGCAATCCTTCCCATTCTCGCATGGCTCGTTACTCAGCACCATACCGCTCTCCGTCGTAGCGACAGGAGACGGGTGGGAGTATCGGCAGTGCGCGTTGATGCACTTCGTGGCGTACTTGCACAATGTCGGCGACTGCGGTCGTTCTGGGACAGCGTAGCCGGGCCGTTGCGGTGTGCCAGGGAATGCATGGGGAGCGGGAGTGGGTGCGGCAGAGGCCGGCTTGGGTTGCGGTGCAGCGATCACAAGGGGTGCAGCGGGGGCACCATTGGCTTCCCTCGCCTCGGATGTCCGAGGACCGGTATGTCCACCCCGTCCTCCACGACTGCCACGGCCCCTGGGTCCACCTCGACCACGCCCGTCGCGCTGGAACGCGCCGTTGTTCGGACCGTTGCCCTGGAAGCCTCGCATGTCCACGTCCATGGGGAACCCATTACCAGGATTCCCGCCGAACTGGCCCGTGGCAGGATTGATGATGCCCATAGACGAGGCCATCTGCGCCATGAGCGCCATCTGGTTCATCATCATCTCCTGCAACATCATCGGGTTGCCCCCCATGTTCATCATATCCATGCCGTTCGGGAAGCCGCCGTTCGCTGCTGCCATCATCATCTCTGGCGACATGCCCGCCATGTGTTGCATGTCGCCGTTCGGGAAATTATCCTGACGTGGGCCAACGCGCTCGAGGAGGCTACGTGGGGGCGGAGGACCACCGTTCGGGACGTTGTCATTCCCGCGTAGCATGGCGCGGGGGCCGGTCGGAAGGTCTGTGCGACGCATCTTGTTGGGATGGCCAGGGGAAGGGGTGCGGGCAGAGGCGGGGCGTTTGTTTGATGATGAAGGGAGGGCGGCTGATAAAGCTTGTTGGTAGACGCCATTGCGCGGACCGCGGCTCTGGTCGCGTTGACTGGCAGGGGCTGTGGGGGGCTGCGATCGCAGTTCGTTCATTCGGTAGTCGGGAGCCGCTGCTGCTGCTGATGCCGGCGGAGCGGACGCTGACTCCTCCGGAGCCGTCCTTGCGGCTTCTTCAAAGAGCCAGTCTGTGAAGCTTGATTCTGTGACTATCGGTTAGCGACGCGTTGTTGCTTCTACCCGGCGGTCGCGTACCGTACTCTGGGCCAATCACTGCAAGGGTATCGTCAGTTCTTACTGCAGTAGAAGGGGGGGCTGGGGTTACTCACGGTCATTCAACTCCGCGGTTATTTGGGCTACACCGCACGTCAGCGCTCAACGATCCACTGAGAAGTTCAACTACGCACTCGAAGTCTTGTTGTTGATGATCATTATCGTTATGTACTCCGCCATAACCGCGTCTGATAGCAGAGTCAGATAGTCGTTGCCAGTAAGCGTCAAGGTCACGTACCGTCCGCGCTCAATCCTCGTCTAGTGAGCTCATTTTGTATCGCAGTCTGGTGGAAACGCTCTTAGAACCTATTTACTGCATATCAAAGCCCTGTGCTCACCTGCAAAGCCGCAGCGCGCTCCGTTCCAATAGTCAGACCGAAAGGCATCGTGGGCGAGCGCTAACAAGTTCGACGGTTCTGGCAGAAAGCGGGACACTGACCACCCATGACTAAGCGTCCAACTTGGGCCTTTGACAAGCGCAGCCAAATACGCTTTGACCATCCAGTCATTGTTCTCCCTTTTTCGTCTTGACAAACACCCGATATTCGGCGATTTCCAACCTCTTGTAACATATAGAACACTCTACACACTACCACACCACCTGATCTCGCAGGACTTAGAAGAAATGGGAGTTACCATACGTTGGGATGTGACCCCGAACACACCTGAAGAACTGCAGCCTATCATTGGACTCATCGGCATGGGTGCCATGGGCAGGATGTACGCCAAATCTTTGTCTGAGGGTGGATGGAGAAGGTAAGGTGCATATAAATGCCGATTAGCCTTACTGAAGCCTTATAGAATTCATGTCTGTGATATCCCTGAGAAATACGACAGCTTGAAGAGCGAATATGCTGGTAAGCAGCAAGCCCCTGCAAATCATCGTAACTATACTTGCTTGCTAAAGCAGTTCTTGCAAGACTAGACGTCCCTGCTATTACCGTCTTCCCTGATGGACATGGTGTCGCACGTTCCGCTGACTTCATCGTATACTCCGTGGAGGCCGAATTTATCGACGCGGTAGTCGCTAAGTTCGGGCCCTGTAGGTCTTTTCCTGCTCGAAGCTTTGGTTTTCTTCTGACTATTCAAGCTACCAAGCTGGGCGCCATCGTTGCCGGGCAGACGTCTGTCAAGGCCCCCGAGAAAGCGGCCTTCGAGAAGCACCTCCCACCAGACGTATATATCGTCTCCTGTCATTCTCTTCACGGACCTACCGTATCGACCGCTGATCAGCCTTTGGTGAGATCTTTTCTCTCAAAATACGAGGAGCGCGTAAGCTCACATTCTCGCAGGTGTTGATCAAGCATCGTGCTCCAGACGAGGCGCTCAAGCTAGTGGAAAATATTTTACGGCCTCTCCGATCTCGCTATGTCTACTTGTCCTACGAAGAACATGATTCAGTTACCGCAAACACACAGGCAGTCACTCACGCTGCCTTCTTGAGGTACGCCACCGTCGTTCGCCCGATAATGCGAGCGAGCTCCATCGCTCACCTCACCCAGCATGGGCACCGCTTGGGCCTCCTCCCAATCTTACCCCTGGGAGCAGGGGCTCTACGTCGGCGGCATCGAGACCGCCAAAGTAAACATCGCTCTCCGTATCTACTCTAACCTCTGGCACGTCTACGCCGGCCTGGCCATACTCAACCCCGCCGCGCGCGCGCAGATCGAGCAGTACGCCCGCTCCGCGTCCGACCTGTTCAAGCTCATGGTGAGCGGCGGTGCACCCGGCGC